AAAAAAAAAAAATCTTTTTGTCTTGATTGAAAACATTTTTTGTTACAGCCATAATCATGAGGCACATGCACTTCCATAAATTCTTTGCAGGTAATTATCAATCTGCACTAAAAGAAGACAAAATACTTTTTCTTCTTTTGTACATGACGACATTTCAGCCATGGTTTTCTTTTGTGGTTTATGTGTGTTTTTGTATTTGTTGCTCCTGATTTATCAATAAGCATAAAACTGCAAAAGTGAGGTATTACTCATTGTACGACTACTAATTCTTAATCTATAACTTCCATGATATTCCAGACTCCGACACAAGCCCCACATCCACTAACGCAACCACACACAGACTGACTTGAAAGCCATCTGAACCAGATGGGCGAGGATGTCCTGGGCGTCCAGCGTGATGCGATTCAGGTCTCGGTCCTGCTTGATGAAGTTGAGCAGCTCTGAGGCGTTGGCCATCCAGAAGGCGAGCGCTCCTGCAATGTTCTTCTGCTTCTGTAACGTACCAACCAACAGCCACACACAAAGAAAGAAAAAAACAAACACACATACAGAGGAAGTTGTTAGAGCAGCATGACGCAGGAGAGACTGCAGAGTTAAAAACAGAAGGTAGGAGAGAGGTTTCTGTTTGAGTGGCAGCCAGAAGGAGCAGTTGTTACTTCAGGGATAGACTCATGGCCCGCCCGACCCTCCCTCCCTCCCTCCCTCTAAGCCAACCCAGCGTCGAGAGTTAAGAGTGGTCATCACTGTCACTCAAAAGGGTCTCCGTTCCTGTATTTCTTCATGTCTTCCACTCTAAAATTCAACAGGTTTACACAGATCTTCCCTCTGAGAGACATTAGTGACCACTCCTTTTCCCTCCCAGACTCAACTCCATTCAACAGGTCACCAGACACTTGCCTCCTCCACGAAATACTTCTTTTCTTTCTGACAAAAAGAAACCGTGTTTAGACCGTAGATTTACACTATGGTAGAAACTATTGCAAAATGGTCAGCCAATGAAAGCCACTTAACAGTTAAAATATCTGTATTGATGGTTACAATCCATATTAAGCTCTAAGGAAATTTTATTTAAAACATATTTCGGAACTACAAAAACACCCACATCACTTGTGTTGCAGAGTGATGTGGGAGAGGCAACAGTGACTGACTCTATGGACATATTAAATAAACTAAATCTTTCATCTTTGCAGATTTGCAACCTTTGAACATGGCCAGGCTAGCAGTGTCCGCCTGTTTCCAGCTTTCATGCTAAGCTAAATGAACCAGCTGAGCTTAGTCGGCTTAACTCCGGCTGTGTATTTATCCCACAGACATGACAGTGGTCTCCGTCAACTCTTGACAAGAGAGGGAATAAGGGTATTTCCCAAAGTCTTGAAGCATTCCTTTAGCCTATCAAAATACAAAATTTCAAAGGGCAACATAAAAGCTATTGAAAACACATGTTGTGCCTTTTGTAACTGTAGCTGCACATCGCTGCATAAATGTAATCAGAGCCTCTTGCAGAGTAAAGTGATCCATCAACCAAGTAGTTTGCAGAGTGAACAAGCAGCAATAATATCAGAGAATAATTAATGAGATAATTATCCCAAATGGCCAACACTGAGCAGACGCTATCAGACTTTAATAACGCTCGCCGTCTGCTCCATATGTCAGTCTACAGTCTGAAGGACAGTTTTTGTGGTCCTGGGATCAACAGGGAGGACAGAGCGCAGTGTCTGAGGAGCTGATTGGTTAATGTCCCCACCGGTCAGAGAGGGAGGAATGTGCGAAGCTCGCTCTCCTGCACTCATCTATCCCCGCCTTGAAAAACACAAATCAAACAAAACAAAAGGGGAAATAAAAACCCTTCATTCAGAACAGCCAGAGAATGATAGATGGAGCCGAGTGCATCCAAAATGAAAACGTGACGATAACACATTTGAAAACACAGACGGGTGGTTGAACATATTAAATTCCAAACAGACAAATGAAGCAGAGGAGGTGGAGGAGGTCGGAGGGACGCGACTTGTCTCTCATCCACACTGTTGAGTAGGAGAAGCGAGACGTGATGTGACACAAGACAGATGCCAGAATTAAAGATGGAGCAATGATGGAAAAGAGTGGTTGCTTTGGTTTCGCTTTGTTTTTATTGTTTGTTTTTTGTTTTTTTAGTACCAGGCAGGTCCAGGAAGCTGAATGGAATTAGTTGGGTTGATGTTGCTGTTGTTGCTTAGTTTTCCAGCTGTGGGAGGACGTATTATTATGGCTTAATTTTACATTTCTGTTAGAATGGAGAAAAAGAAGCAGCAGCAACAATGAAGGGCTGGTCAAAAAAAAGCAGACAGAGAGCCGTAAAAAGAGAGGAAAGGAAGAGGGAAGGATGAGTCCAGAGGCAGAGAGTCAAAGAAGGTAGCCAAGAGGTTGATGAGGTTGAGCGACATGATTTTACATTTATAAATAGTTAACTTGGTGTTTTGCCTTCAAAGGAACGTCTGAACTGCAACTACAGAACAACTTCTATTTCCTTGTGATCAGAAAAGCTTAATGTTGGTTTAAGTTATTTATGTAACAAATATCAGAAATAATGTTTAAGACACAGAAAGATTAGAAATCAGCAACTTATGGTTAAAATAATGCTTGAACATAATTTTTTACAAGTAATATGTCATCTTATAAATTCGATTTCTGCTTTAAAAAATATAATGTCATCATTTAGAGTTAGCACATTTGCATTTCTAGCTAGCATTTGGTCAAGTATTCAATTTGTAGGGCCGCAACTAAAATTCAATTTCATTATCGATTAATCTAATTATTATTTTTTCGGTTTATCAATTGATCATTTACTTCATAAAATGTTCCCAGAGCCCAATGTTACATCTTTAAATTGCTCGTTTTGTGCGACCAACAGTCCAAAACTCAAAGTTATAAAGTTTACAATATTAAAAAAACAAAAACGGAGAAAAACAGCAAATTCTTACATTTTGAGAAGTTGAAACTAGAGAATATTTTTACTTAATTAACAACTGTAACGATAAAAAAAACTGATCGATGCTGCCGTTTCCTTTTTCTGTCGATCAATTAACAGTTTGGGCTCTGGCTGTTTGCCATGAAATGTTCTAACAACGCTTTGTTTTTCAACGGTTTTAAGATACAAGTTTTATGGATTCACATTAATTCCATCGGCCCTTATTGATTAAAGTGGATGATCCTTTTTACCCATTCCACTGGCAAAGAGAAAATTATTATTTAATAACTGTGAGCACAATAAGCAATGGTGTGTTATTATTTATTATTTATTATTATGTAGTTTAAGTTTCTTTAAAGGCAGAAAATTGAGTCCCAACATCTACCAGCTGGGTAGGAACACCTGTACAAACAGTATCAGAGATATTGAGATAAATGACTGAACTTGTGATATTTTGTCCATGTCGCCCACACCAAGAGAAAGAGAGAGACAAAGAGAGAGAGAGAGAGAGAGAGTGAGTGAGGGAGGTAGACGAGTCTGTAGCAGCCGTATCATGGTGTGCTATTGTGCTATCCTACCTGATCCCCTTCAGGAATCTCCTGGATGGAAGGAGGAGGGGGAGGAAGAGGAGGAGGAGGAGGACGAGGAGGAGGAGGAGGAGGACACGTTCACAGGACAGAGAGAAAACACGTCAACAGCTACAGTATGGACACAGCCATGTAACACACACACACACATAAAACTTTGACACACACATGGCCATGGTTTACAATGTAAAGCCATCTTGTATCAGTTTAAGAAAATAACTGAAAGAGGTCAGCTGAGAACCACATCTGGTCACGAAAACATTACACATTATATCCTGAATTATATTGTTTTTGGTACATTACAGGCCAGAGACACAGACTTATATGTTTTCAGTCCTGTGTTCCAGATGGAGATAAAAGGTAATATATGACCTACAGGAGCTGAGTGAGTGTGAATGTGAGACGGGTATTAATAATAACACAAAGGAAAAAAAGAACGTATCCTTGAATAAACTAAGTTTAAAAGTCATTAACATTTTAACTGGATACATTTTTAGACAACTACATTAAATGTGACCAATAACAAGAATACATTCTCTGCACTGTGTGTGTGCAACGACGTCAGGCTGGCGAGAAATCTGTCAGACTGCTTTGCAGCGGAAACCGGAAATATTCTGGGAATAATTCTGGCTAAACGTTCCAGTTTTTGGGAGGGTAACACCCTCTTTGTGGAAACAAGCAACAGAGTTTATGGGTAATGTGGTCTCAATATAGAAAAACAACTGGGAACATCACAAATGGTGAAAAATAGAAGCTATCGGATAATGTTGACCTGGTTCTTGGTGAGGATAAGCACTTAATTTGATAATCACATATTGAGGTTTAAAGACGCTACATGTGATCCATTTAGGGAAACATTCAATTAAGCAATGCAGTTAAGAAATTTAACATACAGGATGCAAAGCACTGGAAAAAGATCTCCACAACTCAACACAGTTAAACTGGTCACAGTCATGCAGATTCAAGATTTAGTTTTCTAAGTTCTCGACATCCCAGACATGCTCCAGAAACACTACGATTAGTTAACTGCCTGGTTAATATGTTGTAGTTATTAATCTTCTGATGATACTAAGAGACAGATTATGAGCCTATGTGAAAGCAGGAGGGCTGAACGTTCCCAAATTCCTCAGAAGCTAAAGATATTTCCCCCGAAACTCTATAAAAACCAGTCCTACTACACACAGACTGAAATAGATTAAGTCCATTGTGTGTTTTCTTTCACTGCATACCAACGGCAATGAATGGCTGCGAGCAAAAACAAATAAAAGTGAATGGCGCTAATAAAAGAAGTAATGGCATTTGCGTTTTATTGAGCCTCAGTAAGGAAAGCCTTTAGAAACACTTAGTGTGTGATGTTTTTACCAAAGTCCTGTGCTTTAGTTTATTAAACCAGCACTATGTCAGTATGGCCTGAAAGTGTATTTTGTTCTATAAAGTCACCTGTTGTATTGGTGTTTTTCTTCTGTCCTTCAATAATGGCTATTTTAACATTGCTAAAACGGTATAATTCAGACACCAAACAGGAACTTGTTTAAATCTGCACACATTTGATGCTAAGCTTTCACTTCCTTTGACCAGTGAATGGTGATGTCTTATGTTGCTCAGAGGTATCTTTGTCTAAACTAGTCTGTGTACAAAATATAACTTTGTAAACATAAAACATATTTGTAAAGAGGACTTTCTACAACCTAAATGCATGTAAGCAGTGGCGGATGACCCCAAACGTTTGAGCTGTCGTGTATATAATATGGTTTTAGTATTGTCGCCTATCATAGCAGCTCTGGTATTTAAGTTATTCTAATGATCAGTGATAGCTCCATGCTAGTTAAAGTTTAGTAAACACTATGTTGTGTGATAGCGGGCTTCACATCACGAGTATTTAACACTGACAGGTAGACAAACATCAGACAAAAACACCAGCTGGTAACAACAGAGGTAACTGTGGAGAGAAAGCGGGAAAACATACAACATACAACCACCATACAAACACTACAAGTGTAGCGGTTTGTAAGAACGCAGCAAATGGTGGGTGGAATTAAAACATCACACAACTCATTCATTTCACAAGTGAGTGTGTCAGTATGAAATCCATAAACAACATGAAGGGACGCGGTGCAGAACACACTGGGATGATGCACAACCCAAAAAATAAAGAGATCTGAAGTGTTACTGACCTGGATGACTCCCTCCATCATGCTCACCATCTTGTTGACGATGGCGATAACCTTGTGCGTTCTCTCAGACGGCGACATGTCGGGCCGGTAAGAGGGCGACAGGACGTAGCGGCACGCCATGTACAGGACGTAAGTGGGAGAGAGTTTGAAGTGAACCGTGGAGCTGTTGGTGTAGTTGATGATGGCTGACAGGAAGGTGTCTTCAGCTGGATGGAAACAGAATCAGATCATTAGACCACACACACACACAGAGAATGTTTTATATCTACTGGCTGAAAATGTAGAGACGGGCTGATACTTCAATGTCAATACAGTTTTAGCGTCTTCGATAAAGAAAATATTCTCTCGTAACCTTTTTCCATTTGCACAAGAATGAACCTGCTGGCCAAACACTGATATCATCTGAATTCCTTCAGTCAAAGAAAAACATCCAGCCTCAGCTGAAAACTCTCATAGACCTTTTTCACAGCAGCCATTTTTGACATCAAATAGTAGGGTAAACACAGGTGTTACCAATGATACTAATTAAAGTCTTGTTCCACTGAGGTCAGGTCGAAATGGCTGCTGTGAAAAAGGTCTGTTGGTGCTGGCTCCACTGCCCCAAATAGGGGAATAAATTAGTACAATTGTCAAATAAAACATCAAACTTTGAGGTACAAGAGCTTCACACAGCAAAAAAAAAACAACATGTTTTATAAATTAGGCTATTGTTTAGGTCAGTTGGCCGTTGTGATTGACTGTTCTTTATAGTGATCGTAGTTAAATCACTGACCGACTATGAACACTTTTTCTTCAAACCTAAAAATGTACATCCGCTGTGGGGGTCCTTGAACTGAAAAAGTTTGGGAACCCCTGGTTTAGATCATAATCTAGTAACTAAACGGACTAAAAGAGAGTCAAAAGATATCAGTTTATAATTATTATATCATTCCTGCTGCTAATAATCCCACCATCGGGGCTGTGATGGTGAGGTTTGAGTCTTCCACAACTGCTGTTTTATTACTTTTACTACTAATATTACTGCTGTTACTACTACTAATCTCACAAGTGTTAACAACAACTAAGAATTCACGCATAGTTTTGTTGAATCTGAATGAATTAATGTTGAGGACTTCTCACAGACAACCAGAGCAGTTCCAAAACATATGAAATCAGACTGCATTACACTTTATGTATCATACCAAAAGATGGCTGGTACTGACTGAAATAGATCCCCTTTGAGCTGCAACAAGGAGTTTGTTTAAGTCCCTTTAGTGGTTGCTTGTTCACAGAACTTGGCTCCACATGTGTCATGCAGCATACACCAATAAAACCACTTTGAGCCAGACTGCGGTGTCAGTTTCTTTCAGCGTAGCTTTTAGCTGGTAAAAGTATTTGATGTCAAATCGGTTACAGCTGCGCTACGACAACTCGCCCTATGAAAACCTGAAGATGACAGCGCAGCAAGTATCCAGATTTCAATGGTGCATATGCGTCATTGTCCCAAAAACCCCTGTCTGCCTCTAAAGCGTATGGTTTCTCCCAGTGCATTGTGGGTATGGGACTCTCCAACCACTCTGTGACCAATCAAAAGCCTCCTTTGGCTGGTAAAACAGATGATCTCACACTATGCCAAATATACACTCAGTGCTCACAGACACACTGAAGGCCCAGAGCACGAGGAAAGTCAACAAACACAAGTGTTAGAAAGACAAAGCAAACAGCTAGAAGAACAGAAGACTGTGGGAAACATCAAGTGCCAGAACACCAAACTTATAAGACTTTGAGACATTTTAAGGCCACGAGTCCATTAAATTATCAACCGAGGAAAACAACCTGTTTCTAATTTAATTAATCTAAAGTAATAAAAAGGAAAATACATCAAAACATTACATAGTTAAGACCAGGAGTTCAGACGGTTACACTGTAATATTAACTCATTCCTGAATTCATCTAATGGTGGAAACCAGAGCAACTCTCCCCTCCTAAAGCAGGATTCTCCTCAGTCTAGTCACAAAGGAGGAGGAGATGACATTTTCTTTCTTTTTGTTGACCATTAAACTGTCAACAAGGGAATCTACAGCACAAACACGGCGAGGGTTAACCGACTGATCTGTGCCGAATGTAATAAGGGTAGAACGGGGTGGTATCAGGGCAGAGAGCAGAATCGTTATAATGGTCAGCAGAGCAGCGAGCCGAGACAGAACATCAATCCATTTAGTGTATTTTGATAGATGACGGCCCAAATGTGAGACAGCCGGTTCTCTGTTTGGGTGTGTGTTCTGTTGGTGGTGGTTCATTTGTTCCCATCGTTGAATAATGGCATGTTTAGATCGAACAGGGACAATACGAGTGTTGTATTGATTTATAATGATGAATAGCAGTAAAATACCAAACAAAAGAGGGAAATCGTACTCCTTCCTTTCCCATTTCCATCTTCCTCTAAGCTCCATTATATAGTTATCCTTATAGCGATTAGCCGAAATGTGTCTCTCTCATCATTGTCGCATATCAAATTGCTGATTGGACTGAAGAAGAAGTCTTGACCTGGACGTCCGTTATCCGGATATCCGGCTACAGTGGAAGCGCCGAAACATTTGGCCTTTTGCCTCAGAGGCTAAATTGTTGACAGACAATAGCTGATGGGTTCCAAGATTGCATCAACAGACTCTTTTCAACAGCAGACACTGACCAGAAGCACTGGTGTAACACTGACCATGGCTCCATACCATTAAGGGCCCCAGTGAGTGAGCAGCCCTGGAACGGGCTCAACTGAACTGAATGCAGCCATCATTAATCTTATCAAGTCCACATGTGGTTTTCCTGCTTTGACAAGTCTAAATGTCTCCCATGAAAAGGGTCTACAGGACCACTAAAAAATAATCAGTTAATGTTAATGAACTGCGTAACCCAACTCCAGCTTTAACCGTTTAACCCCAAAATAGCTCTTCTGAGAACACCCCTTAATAAAAAGGAGCGCTCACTTTATCATCGTTAAACGGTGTCAAATTAACTGTTATCTTGATGCAATTACAGGAAACAAAGCTTTTAGGCCTGAAGCTGATCCAGCTGATTTTCTGCCAAATACGGGTGGCAGACAATTTCAAATGTAAATGCTGAGACAATATGCTCATTTTCTCTCTGTCTGTTTCTGGAAGTCATATTAATGTTTCTAAATGAATGCGATCGGGTCTTCCTGTACAGAACCGCAAGACGGCACAATACCCTAACTCTGAACTGGGGGAGTCTACAGACAACAGGGTGGGAGGAAATGTCCATAATCTTACATTTACCAAGGTTCTTCATTGGCACTAATGCTGCTAGAGCAGCTAGGTCAGACAACTAGGCGGGTTCAATAGTTTCCAGCTATTGACTGTTTCACTAACACAGTGAGGCAGAAAGCGACTACTCCCACTATTAATACTCACAGTTGTCTCTGAACTCGATGCCGGCTGGCAGAGTCAACTCTGGTCTGTCTGCTGAAATGTCCTGAGACCTGAAAAGACAAAAGTAAAACCATGAGAAAGGAAGATAACGCTAAACACAGAGAGGGGCGACTGAGGAGAAGGACGAGCCAGAGGACCGGAGAGGGGATAAAGAGGAGTGTGTCTGACCTGCTGTCCTGCTGCTCTCCTCTGATCATGGGTTTGACCATGCCTCTCTCCATCTCCAGCTTTCCCGAGCTCTGCACACACAGAACACACACAAAATGTAATTTCACTGTAATTTAATTTAGTAAAAGATCCCATCATGAGAGCGTACAGACATCTAGATAATGACTGCTGTATAATGAGGCTTCACTCGTTCAATAGCAGCACTATTCAATACTAAACATACAACAACTAGTATCTTTCTATATGGGCGCCCTGCACTAAATCTGATCTTGTGTTTCTGTTTCTGGGTCTTCAAGACATCAAATATCTGTATTTGTTCTATAGGAACAGCAACATGTATGTAAAAGATTTAGCCTGACATATACCGTATATGTCTAGAGCTGCTAAAATAGGTATTTGCAGCAACTTCTTTCAATTTGATCAATTCAGTAATTTTTAAGGACAAAAATGCTAAACGGTGTCTAGTTCCAGCTCTACAAATGCTGCTTTTATCTGTTTTATAAAATTATAATCTAATGAATCTCTTTGGTTTTTTGCCTGTTGATTGGAAAAAAAACAAGCATTTTAAAAGATATTTATTAAAATGAATAGATTAAGTTTATTTTCAGCCCTATGTCACAGTGCATTACTTTTTTGGGGGTAACATATGGAACACAGATACGTGCAAGCTACAGTAGAGATGCACCGGTCCAACCTTTTGTCTCCTGATTCAGATAACTCAGATTAGGGTAACCATCCAACACCAGTGCTCTCTTTTCCCCCAAATTTCAAAAACAGTAAACTTGACCTACAACTTCACATCACCTCGTAACTACAAGTGAGTTCACACACCATCTTTTTTTTAAACCACATCCGAACCTCTGGGTTCAACTTGACAAAAACACTGTATTTAACGTGGATCCTGATCCACTTAGAAAGGTCAGTCTAATGATCCGGCAGATTGGATCGGTCCATCCCAGCAATAAAACTTCCCCTTAAAACTCCCTTTGGCAAGTAATAAAATGTTTGTTTTTGTGCCTATGAGCAGAATATTCCAATGCAATGTGTGTGTGTGTGTGGTGTGGTGTGTGATGTGTTTGTGGTGTTGTGTAGTGTTGTGTGTGTGTGTGTTACCTTGCTGGTAGGCAGCGCAGCTCCACTGTGGACGTCTCCGTGAAGGTCGAAGGTGGTTTCTGGTACACTGCTGCAGCACAGACACAGACATGCAGCAGTTTAGATTTAGGAACTGTGCTCTCCACAGCGGACTTTTCATTACTGACAACGACAAGAGCTCAGACTTAATCCACACACACACACACACACACACACACACACTTATCTAACCCATCGTCGGGGAGGAGAGAGCTGGATCAGAGATGCAGTAACTGAATGACTCACTAATACATGCAGACAGATAGTTTGTTTTATACACGTGCACACACATACTTACATAAGAGTCTAATTAGATATAGAGAAACCATGCCAGGAGTCCTGACAGTTGCCACCCAAGCCTGTTACATTGTGTGTGTGTGTGTGTGATAGTAATTGAGTGTGACAGCAGTCGGGTTTGAAAGTTTTCACGCCCCAGATGACAGGAGGGCATCAGTGTCAAATAAACAGCACAACACGAACAGAAAGACACAAATCGTTTGTGGTACACAATAACCACCAACAGCTAAAGTAAGTTAAACCATTAACAGCAGGACTACGCCGATATAGATGGAGAAAATTAGGCTGATTTTCTATCTGGCACCACATTTCCACAATTGATTTGTTGGCTAGTTATCATGACAACACCACATGGATAATGCCTCTCGACCTTTCACATTAACGCAGCTCAAGCTGATGTATTCAGCCACTGAAACAAACCCTCTGACATGTGTTCATTTACGGTGGATATCGGAGTTTCCTAAAAGCTCATTTATTGCCGTGGGATCTCAGGAACTGGGCAGTCATGTCATTAAAGCTCGAGCCACCCTCGTTAAATTGCTCGCAAAACCTCACCTCGTTATTTAGATACCTCAACAATTAGACGTTTTTATGAATCCAGATTTAGTAGCATCGTCTGATCCTTCCAAAAATAAGCACAGATAAATGGAAACAGCAAAAAGTTGCACATGCCAAACTGAAGAGCTGTTTTTGACTTTCAGATGTCACCAGTCAACTTTAACTTCATACCACACGTGACATAATTGAGCATATGTTCTTCTGAAGCTGCCTCTGATAACAGTTTGCGTCTGTCAATCTCAATTATTATTATAACAGCTTAAAACTGGCACCCCCATGTTTATTAACTTAAAATGTTTGGCTGGCATGTCATTTATAATTTACAGAATGAGCCAGCAACACAAAATCTAAACAAACATGGGGACGGATTACGTTTCTTTCCAGACTTCCGGTGTGTTTTCCCGTCTTTCGTGCTCTTCTCTCACCGACTAATGCAAAAATACTTAGTGAGAGGCAGGAGATTAAAGACCTGAACGCTCATTCGCTGCAAGATCATCTGTTCGGCTGCCAGAACCTGGAGCCAAAAAGCTCCGATGTTCAAAATCAGCCGCCGTGCCAAACTGTGGCTCTAAATCGTTTTAAACATCAGGATGAGTCTCCGGCTCAAATGAACGAGGTATCCTTGTAAGTTTGTACAGCAGAGCCGTTGGAAAGCGGCCCGGAAAACCGCAGGGATCCACATCCACAACATCAGGCTTGTGTTCCAGACTGAGGTGACATTGAGCTGCACAAAAATGACAGCTGGTGTTAATGTAACTCGACAGACGTTACAGAGACTTTTTTTTATAGGGAGCGGTGCTTTTCCATCGCTTTCCTTTCATCCCTCTCTCTCTGTTGTATAATCAGGGTGTGGGCGGTAACAATGTGCCCCCACAGGAAAGAAATTAATTAAAAAGTT